ACCAGACCAAGAGTTACCATGCCCCACTTTCCACCTACTTGCACCCGTGGTTCCTCTCTTCTGTGATTTTCTTGCCCCGTGAGCTAAATGGTCTTTAAGGGAATATTTTCAGGGCGTAAATATTTTGAAACAAAGCAACTCACGCCGATTGATTTGATATTCCGTCTTCCTGCCGATTTTCCGAACACATCAGCCGAGCTAAGCCCAGAAAGCCTCTGGCTAACAGACGATTTGGTGAGGACTTCCTGGTTGAAATCTTCGTTGAATTTATATGTCAATAGACGTTAATTGTTATGTAGGTTTCATTTCTGCCCTTCTCTTCGTATTGTCCTTCGAACTTCATCGGACCCCTTTTGATATGTGAGCAGATGCACTGCCCTTGGATGAGGATTCAAGGGTGATGCTCACGGCGATGAGTGTCTTTGCCATCGATCTTCTTTTGGTATTCGCCACGCATCCGACTTCTGTCCAAAGACGTTGTGACGTTTGAATATGATCTGGCCAAACAACAGACTGTTGGGCGATGTGCAAGGCCTTAGGCAACATCGAGCGGATAGAGGGCTTGCTTATCCTGGACGGAATCCGACCCAACAACCCAACCTTAATACCGTGCCTTCGACAAATGACGATGCCAATACACCAGTTCTAGATTATACGTATCGTCAAATGACTGCTCTATGAAAGCAAAACTGGATGCTAATGCTGATGATACATTGAAACAGCCAGATGATAGTTTCAGATCGCCGACGTCCAGAGTCGTCTAGAAATGGTTGCCGAAGGAAGCGCTAGATTCGCTTTGCTGTCCTCCTGTGAAGCGGTGAAGAATTTCTTCAATGAGTGTGACGTGAAGGAGATATGCCTTGATGGAAATCCTCATAGCGAAATTCACGAGAAACACGTGAGCCTCATTAGCTTATCTGGAAAAAATCCGAATATGCATTTGTGCTAGACGTGGTGGCAGTCGAAATCGGCGTGCGTACCCGTTAAAGGCAAACACCGGAATTATCCCAATTGTGGGAAGGATAATGCGAGGGAAATTGTAGGGTCTGTACCTACCTAGATCATGCTAGCTTCGTCGCAAAATGCGCCCGATTACGGCGACTAATTCCTTGCACGGGCCTGCAACCACCGACTTTCATGGAAACCCTTCTCCAGCCAGGGTGAAAATCGTGTCGAGTACGTGGTCGCAGAGGTACGACCCCCCCCCCCCGAAATCGAGATCCTGGCACGACCCCCTCTAACAGAGCAAATTAATTCAATTAAAATAAATCCTGCAAAACAAATCAAAAAAAATTCTGCAAAATAATGCTAAGGACGCTTCATCTTGTCATCTATGCACGTCTTCCATCGCTGCATACTTTTGTGTACATACTGAAATATCGACTCGAGGAAAGAGGCATTAACTTTGTGTGACCTCAAGGCGAGGTTCGTTCAGAAACGCACAGAAATCCTGAAGACACGGGGTTGCGATTCAATCTTGATTCTTGCTTGAGTATATCAAAACAGCCGAGTGTATCAAAGGCCGATTCAACGGCAGCTGCGGCGCGATTGTCACTGGGTCAGATTTGCCGAAATTTCAAAAAAAAACGTCCGAATCTACACCCTCGATGAAAAGGTTGCATTCCTCCATTTCACAACCTTTGAAGCAGCTTGAGGTAGAGTTAGATAGAGCTGGATTTCGCGTTTCCAAGCATAAAAAATTGCTCTGGAAGCCTTCCTTGCAGAAAGATAGGGTCTGTCAAATTTCGTCGAGTAAATGTCGAGGAGGCCGAAATTTTCACGCGAGTTTTTGCCACTTCAAGAGCAATATATCTCTTATATTGTAAGATCCTGAAAAAGGGAAGATAGTTTTGGAAAGCGGAAGGTTTGCGCTTCCTGATGGTCTGTTTAGTTTTCTTCTACAGCTTTTTGGTTGAAGAGATAATTGCGTCGAGGATCTATCGAGGTCGGATCCGGCCACCTGGAAATCCGCTCCCTCATTCACCATTGCAAGTGTGACTCGTTGGCAACACTCGGAATGTGTCTAGAACAATATCTTTGAACGCAAACAATAAGAATAGGAGCAATCGTCATCATCCGATTTGGTATTGGTATAAGCCATGCATCCCTCCTCCACTCACAGTTGCAGAATCGATTGAAAGGTGTTATATGATGGGGACCTTCGAACGAAACTGTATTGTAGTAGACATAGTGTGTTGTGCTATTCCTGTAACCTAAAAAACAACTTCATTTGCCCAGCGCTTTTTCTTCACGGTTGTCGTTTTTCCGACAGGGTCCCTAACAACAGCGTCATTCTCAGCGAGGTATTAAGGGAGAAGGAGCGAGTGATAGGCGGAGGAGGTGCCTTTGCAGCGCGTGCGCACATGTGGCACTCTTCTTTGCGGGGATGCACTTTCATTCTTTGTACTGCCTTCAAATACGCCCTTCTCATGAAGGTGGAGGAATGGAGCGACTGAACCTGCAAAGAAAATTTAATATCATGTTTTTTTTAGGATGTTTTCATTTTCTGCTGCGCTATACCCTATTACCTATCTGCACCATGATACCACTTCTGTTACTGACCCCAAGAGTACGACCCCCCATGGACCAGCCCAACAGGTACGACCCCCCTGTCGAGGATTTCCTCGACCGATATTCACCCTGCTCCCACGCCACGGCTGGGGTGAGTGTAGAGAACAGCGTGTTCTTTCGAAGACTGTGATCTGTCGCTTGTTTTTGCCTTCTTTGATTGTCCTGTTTCGCCATCGTACACACACCCAATCTTACTGAGGCCTAAGGACTTGATTTTATGTTCCCAAAGCTGCTTTCCTTTCCACTTTCAGGTCGCTCCGCAGCTCAATCATCACGGAGCGCTCTTATCAGCGGTTTCATCCCGGGGCTTGCCTTTTAAGGCAGCGATTACGATAAATTCAAGAAGGGTTCAGTGTGACGTGGTGGTGCTCAATGGTACGCCAGTGCGAAAAAGCAGAAAAATCCGTCAAGAAAACGCAAAACGGGACCCCCTTTTTTGGCCGTTGGTTTTCACTCATGAACAGGTAACAGCTCAGAAAGTGGACGTATGAACGAGTTCACCGCAACGCGTTTGATGGCACCATGCCAAACCACGCTTTAATCGAGATGCTCCAGTTGTGCCGCTGCTGGCAACGCAGCTCGTCCAAATCACAAGTAAACTAGTGGGCGGATCGCTTTTGGGGGCGGAGCGCTTTCGAAGTCCTGCTCAGCAACCAGCGCACCTTTCGTCGTGAAAGCGCCACACTCGCTTCCTTGGCAGCCAAGTAACTGATTCGTGTGGTGCCCCGATGCGCTCCTCTTTATCGTAATCGCTTCCTTTAAGACAAAAATCTATTTTTCTACAACTTGATCATTCGGGAACTTGAGAGTGTGGGTCAAAAGATCAGGATCGCGTCCACAGAAATAGTTTGCCGCTCACGCTGCGACGTCATTACCTGTTTACTTGTACCGCAGTGCGACGGTGATCGTAGCGGAAATGCTGTGCGTGCGATGCCCTAACCAATGCCGCAGTAGGCTCCTGCTCCTTGTATGAGTGCTCTTTATGTGACTTGAATGGCGAGAAAATCGTTTCAGGGGATTTATGGTGAGAGTCTGTTGAATACGGTACGTAAATCGTGCGAGGAATATGCGTTAAAAACGTTCGATGTACGATGGCACAACTGTGAGGTGACTTTTTTTCTACTGTTTTGCTTTTCCATAAGGTGCGGTCCAGTCGCGCACTAATTCCACAATTCGGTCGGCACACTAGTACGAAATATGTGTATTGATCACATCCGCGTAAAATCGATACTCATTTTAAAACACGTGCTTATGGGAAAGATGATGCTGGGGCTATTCTAGGTGTGCTACGATAACAAAATAGGAACGGAATGTGTATATTTCACCCCATGTGGCCATGGCAGTTTTGTAAAGAAGTGTCAGAACATCATTTCATGGACGGCCACCCGACTACAGTAAGAGCTGGCTTTATATTTCCCATTTCAGATTCTTTGGATGTACAAAGCCTATCCTTCTAGGTAGCGCCGATGCGTGCCTAAGGAAAGCTGTATGTCTTACCCATCGAAAGACTCCATAGAAGAGTGGTTGGCGTGGGAATTCAGCGCAGTATTCACTCCGCACTCCGCAACGAAAAGAGTGCGCGCGAATGCATTGATAAACAATAGGTTTTGGAGGGGTCTAGAGGGGATGTGGGGGTGCTCAATGGTACGCTAATGGCGAAAGAAGCAGAGAAATTCGTCAAGAAATGGCCAAACGGAATCTACCTGTTGACCGTTGATTTTCGCTCGAGGAGGGGTAGCGGGTAAGAATGTGGGTGTGTGGACGAGTTAACCGTTAACGTGTTGGGCATCAAACTACGCAATCATGCTCGAGTCGCGTTGCTCTTGTTGGCTTAATACCCGTTGCTGGAAACACCGCGCTGATCCAGAATCACCCATCTCACTAGTGGGTGGAGCGCTTGAGGGGCGTGGCTATTGTTAAGTACTGCATAGCAACCAGCAAACCTTCTGTCGTGAAAGCGCCGCACTCGCTCCATTGGAGGCCAAGCTGCTGTTTCGTGTAGTATGCTTGCTTTTCCGATCTGCTCACATTACCTTCATCGGTAGGCGCTTCCCTTTAGATCACAATATCGAGCCGAAAAAACGCGAAACGGATTATTCCACTCGAGAAGAGACATGGTTGCTAAGAGCTGTCATCGAGGAACGTGCCGTAGCAATCACTGCAACTGAAACATTCTTTTCTTGTGGGGTTGACCGTGAGAGCACAGTGTGGGAAGAGAGTTTGACGCGAGAGAGCACGTCGTTTTGGAGGGTGCAGACACCACGGATTGTAAACAGTAAAAATGAAAGCGCTCGAGAAAAAACCAGGGAATTGTTTCAAGGATGTAACACTAGCTGTGCCTTCAAAACGCTACTTTAGAAGCATTCGGCTGTTTCAGGAACAGTTTGAACGTTACCAAAGAATCATTTTGTCGAACGCTCTGTTCACAAATGGATGACATTGTTCTCTGCCCTCGTGCTCGTTGTCAAAACCCTGCATCTAAAAGTAACTGGTCAGTGCATTTTAAAAGCTAAGGTCTCAGATGAATTCGTGATTTTACTTAATCCGCGGCTGAATTGTGAAAGGAACTGACTGTATTGTTGCAGCACTGCGACGTTGGCCACCTGCCAAGTGTGCGATTTCTCTTTCTGTGTGAAGTGTCGTCGAGCTTACCATGGTGTGAACCGTTGCCAAGCTGTCGTCGTTGCTGGTATGCGCATTTGTGCTTCCGCTAACCACAGATATATGGGTTACAGTTTGTAGTTCATCAAAGTCTACTGCCTTACAGTCAGATAGCAGAAAACTTACTGACAGCTTGGGTGAGCCACCGTTGAGGAATCCTCGACGGGTCAAGAGGGTAGTTTAGTGATTTTCAAGAAAGGATATCTATTGACTAGATTTTTTGACGGCATGGCGTAGCGTAGTGGGTCGTCTCCCCATTTTCAATCTCGTTTCTATGGACTCTCTCTTCTCTCCACCTATGTTCTCATATTCTTCGATGGGAGGATGTCTGTGGGAGGCACGATGGCTACCGATTTTCTTCAACCCTTCCTCCTCTTCGACGAACTCCTCCCGCCCTCTTTGTAGGAGCATTGCTGTCAATGTATTCTCGATCCTAGCTCATTCAACAAGTTCATTCCGAACAGTGAGAGTCATTTGAGCCGTCATAATGCTCTCAAGCTTCACACCCCTCCCCGTGTACCCCCCCCCTCCCCACTGTCAAATTATTACGGTAATTCCGCTGTGAAAGGGAGGTCCAAAATCGACAGCCAGTGACAGAAGAAGGAGGACAAATTCTCTTCAATGCTTTGAATGAGGACCTCTTCTTGTCCAGCTGTCCAGGATTCTACTAGGCAGACAGAGGGCAGTGTACTAGGAGACTACTGCGCCAAGTAGAGAAACACATTTGGGAACTAGAGATTCCGGATGAGAGCAGATGACAGACAGACAGACGAAACGCAGGGGGCGGATTTTGCGGAATTGCTGACAGGGTGTTTCTGTGGGAAAAAAAACATCCGCTTTTTCTCTTTTGCCTTCCATACCGCAAAGGTAGTACATCTCCGGAGACAGCACTATGTACTCCCTGGAGGGATTAGGGTCCATCTAAATTCGTGGAGGGGTATGCCTTCAGGGGGCACTCGCGCAAGACCCGCCCACACCTTTTTCTCTGTCGCGTCTGTCATTTCTCACTTCCTCACCTCCGTTTCCACACGAGTTTTCTGTCTGTACGTAGAAGTCTGAGACTAACAGGAAAAAGGTTCTGTTTTAAGTGTAAACTGAGAGCTGATACCATTCGAATGTGAAAGTAGAGGTGGAAAATGGTGCGTATGTGAAAAAAAATGTACGTGAGAAAGACCGCAAAATTCCAATAAACCGATCCTTTTCACCAGGTGATTCAGAAAGTGAACACCTTTACTGCTATTGAAGAGGTCGTCAGGGAAAGGTAAACACAGGAATCTGCGATGGCCCACACGTTGCTGCTTTTTACGGTGCAGCAGTGTGTCTAGAAAATCAGACGGTGGCGTGATGTTTAATATTCACGGAACCATTTCTTTATCCCATGTGCCGGCAGTGGGCGTGTCTGAGAACCGGGAGGGCTTTAAGGCAACCCTGGCCCTCTAACACGCGGTTGATAGCAACCTTCCCTGCGAAAGCGCCAGTTAGTATACTTTGAGAAATTCTGGACCGGCCCCTGGCCCACTATCCCATTAAGTGTCTTCTCTGAATACTTGGATTTATCGTGAATATTCCCTCTTAACACACACATTCACGACGACGCCCCTTTTCCACTTTTCGGTCGCGTGGGACGGACGCGATTTTGTGGGCGCCGCCGCCTCACCACATAACCGCAGATTTTGTTTTGTAAATGAACAAAAACATGAATGTCACAAAATAATTTCTGCAATGTCCAATGCGTAAAGATTATCTAAACATATAACAGTAGGATTTCGATCAGAACGACAAATAGTGGTTACGAAAAGAGAGCATTTATTCACTTTCCCCGTGAAGGAATTTAAAAGCATTTTACACTCGATTACGAGGTTTGCCCACCTATCTGTCCATTCCTAGCGCCTGGCAAGCGATTATCAGTTGGCAGCCCATATGGGCTGCCATCGTCCCAGGAGCGCATGTTGTTGGCAGCCCATATGGGCGGCCATCGGCGTGAATGTGTTAAACAACATACTGTGTCGGTTCGCTATTTTTCGGACGTGTATCCTACCACCTTACGGAGTCTAACAGATTGACGGGAATCATAAACTAAATAGAGGACCATGAAGCAGCTGTGTGACACGAGCGCGCTCCAAGTACCTTACGGGCGTTACGTAGCTTCGTCGCTCGATGCCAAAAATACCCAGATGCCGGTGTGGTGGCTGTTGTATGATCGTAGAGCAAATGAGAACAAATATCGCTCTCGAATCGAGTAATGCAGAACTTTTATTGTAGTGTCGCGAATGGTTGAGAATGAAGACGGCACACTGACGTTCAAGGAGATCACCGTCGACGAGTACCTGGCTGCTACGGATGATCAGCGCAAAGAGATGGCCTGGTGGTATGGAGGTGTTAAGAACCTAGAGGTACGGTAGGCGTGATACGGCTTGTTCAACGTTTTAAGGCCACTCCAGGTCCAGAATAATGGGTTAGAAGATATGCAGCAGGCGCGAGTGATTATCGGCGTCGCGCGCCATCGTGTAATTGATTTTGCACGAACATGCAATTGCCTGAGCGAGTGGGAGCTCGCATGTTAAGACAACTGGTCAAAATTGTCGCGCGCAGAAAACGTCGAATGGTTTCTACGCGGCGCATCCGGCAATCCTCATCCCCTGACCCACTTTCTGAGATCCCAGGGATTTATCAATAGACCACATTGCGACGAATCCACCTACCTCTCATAGTCCAGTAGAAAGTCTGTTTAAGACCAACCACGATTGCTGTGGCGCGGTGCGGTTTTTGATGACGTCATTTAACGTCACTGGTGGACTGGACCCTTCAGCGCGCTCAGGGTTTTGGTTAGAGCCAACTCTTTACACGCTCCCCACCAGCCATTTTCAGTGACGTCATCAAAACCGCACCACTCCGCCATCGTGATCATTGCCTTTAAGTAACCGTTATTCAGTCTATCAATTTAGAAGTTTTGCTTTTGACAGGCAGCTATGGATGAGGCGATGGGACTTAATGATCGGCGATCACGGGAGTGGCTCGACAAGCACACCAAAAGCTGCCCAACTTGTGGATTAGCAATCGTAGTACGTCGTTCCGAACTTTGAGCTGACTATTTTCTGATTTTTATTATTTCTTCACCTATATAAGGATAAGTTGAAACCCTCGGTGAGCGGAGGGGTGGGAGGGGGGGGGGGTAGTTCAGAGAATTCGGAGAATTCTACTGTTCCTAGCTTGATTTCGCAGTAACAGAAAAGTAGAGGACGGGGTGGGACGCTGACTTCATTAACATGAGCGTCCTGCTCTATCTTTCCGCTGAAAGAGCTAGAGTCCGACGGTCAGAGACCAGAGGGGGAGAAAAGCTCATCGGAAGCGCGCGCGTGCTGGTGACGTCGAAATGGCGTCGCAGGTGCAGCAGGCTTAGAGGAAGGGCAAGCAGCGGTCAGCGCCACCGCC